TTTGTTTCTGCCAGGATGTACCCATTTACACCAACTGAGTCCAGGTACTGGAAGATTTTCATTCATCAGGATATCCGAGTACTTAGTCAATATCTTCATGACTGAAAAAGGATTCCAGTTCCCTTTGACATAGTGGATATAAGTTACAGGTTGCAGGTCAGTGGATGGGGATATATTAATGTGTTTGCACATACAGGACATGTGTGAACACATTTGCTTTTGCTGGATCTATTATGTCTATGAGCACACTTAAGGAATGATCCTTCAAAGCTTCCAGTGTCGGCACAGCTCTCTGTTCTCCCTAAATAATCACCCTGATTTTCGGCTGCTGTTTACTGCTTGTGTGCTGCTCCATAACCACAGACTGATACATTAATATGCTCCTGTTTAAGGAGAGCAAGACACCTCATCGGTTTTGGCCCCACAGCCTGCAGTGCTTGGAGAGGACAGTGCATGATTTGTGGCCCTCTCTGTGGGGCTTGAGGTCTGTCGAGAGCACCATAAGAGGCAGGGTGGCATGCAGCAACAGAAGCAAAGGGTGATGGTGGTAATGTGGAGCGAGACAACAAAGGCAAGGTTGATGGCAGATTGTAAGAGGATGCTTGTCTGTTTGAAATGTTTCTGGCAACACCGCATGATGAATGAAGTGCACGATAACTGTGCGTTGAGTGCGAGACACATTCGTCTTCGTGTTTGTTAGTGCCTTTTATGCCAGTAGGCCTCAGATTCATTTTTACTTCAAGTATTAATTCAAGCAACAAATTGTTGACAGCATTAGGTCTGTTTCTTGGTCACAAGACAAGGCTGTTAATGGTGGTGTGATTCTTGTTGTAAAAGAGAGTAAGGTCAAATAAGGACATATTTTACAAAATGTGTTTGGTTGTGTGTGTGTGTTAGTGTGAGTCAGTTTGAGCTAATCTCACAAACTACTGGACCAATCAGCCTCATATTTTGTGTGCACACGTATGACTGTATGCTCAAGGATCTCTTCTGGTTGCAGTGATTCACATATGTTGATAAACCTGTTTTATTGACCATTGTATATTGTCATGAAGTGCTGACTCCTCACTCACATCAAGCCTTACGTAGTCGGTTGCAGACCACAATTTGGCCTTTGTCTTGTCTCAAAAAACTGAAAGCCGCAGAAAACTTTGGACATTGGAGCATCTGCAGATTAATTCCACACCTGATATGATATGATCTACTTAAGTAAAACACTGTATGAGATGAATAAGTCCCTGTTTATGTTATCTTCACCGCCATCTTGACTGTAAGGGAGCCGGGAGGGACAATTCTATGGGGCCCAGCTGTGACAGGGTTTTGCTCTGTCTGCCGTACAGCATCATAGCACACTGGGAACGTTTGCGAAGCAGATTTTGTTGTTTTCCTCGATATTTGTATTTCAACTATAAGTAACTAAGCAGGCTGTGTGGCTAATTGTTTCTTTTTTTATTTGTCTATTTCAGTCATTTATTGTTGTTTTTTCCTACTATGTTGTGCAGACAAAGTTCATACCGTTAAAAGTCCAGTTATTAATGACATGGATCAAAGATTACTGCCTGTGTTTTAGTCATTAGAAATACATTCATCCTCATATTGTATCTATATTTCACTACAGTAACTGGTAGCAGGAGAAATTGTTCTGCATTGTGCAATTTGCTGTGACTCTGTCAAAAAGTATTTTTATTAGCTTCTAGGAAGCTTCTGAAACATGCTGCGGCACATCTGCTGGAACTACAACAATTATCCAAAGTGGCCATGGTCAGACCGGGCGGCTGCCTGGTGGAGATCTTCACACTACTAAGTGCACCTTCTAGGTTCTGAGGTTTTTAAAACATATTTGTATCCACTGCCTCCTGCGTTGTGCTCGTCATTAGCTTTAAAATAGCAAAGAGTTACCAAGAACTTAACACCCAATTGATGAAGAAAAACAGACTGATTGTTTGACAAAGAGGTGGCATGAGGTCACATTGTGAAATGTTTTGTCGGTCTCTTGCGAATGTTCCCACAGTCAGCAGGTTTAAAGAGGAAACATGTTTGCCTTTGAGAAGAAACTGAGGTCACACCATCTTGATATGGGTACGTGTCAATTCTGACTGTATGTGTGCCCATGTGAGCATTATTATGATCCATAAATACTTCAACTTTGTCCGTCATGTATGAAGTCTGTGCAGTCAGCGAGAATCCATCAGTAATCCTGACTACATCGGTTGTGCAATTCAAGAAATTTCACAGAGCCTTGAATAACCTCAAACCTCAAATACTTCCTAAAAAGTCAAGAACATCTGGCCGTTGTTTTTGTTCCACTTCGGAGTGTTACCATTTCTGTCAGATCTCAGATGACGACACTGTTCCAGGGTGTTGGTGTGACGTTTTTATGCCATTGAGCTCAACATGTTTTTTAGAAATGTCCCAAAATAATTGCTGTTTTTGTTGGCTTCTCACACAGTCGGCCTCTTCCTCATTCCCTCTCTGTCTTTCTCGTGGGTGTATCTGTTGATCAGCGCGAGTTTAGGCAGTTAATGAGCGTGGAGAGGACATCGTCAGCCCTGTGTCTGGTCCCTGTGGTAGTCTGGTTTGGCCTGGCTCCGGACTTGCTCCCTCTGGCCCCACTCACTCTGTCTGTAAGCTTATTAGTGTTCAGTCCAGGCCCTAGCAACAGGGAAACATTTACACCAATACATAAAAGCACTCAATCAGCACAAGCCATTAATTAGGCCAGTGTTTGTTGGAAATTTCATGGAGGAAATGGAGAATTGTTGATAGAGAAGACAAGCAAGGTGACAAAGATGCTTCCTGGACCAGCTGCTGCCTCTCGCTCTGCTCTGGATGAATAAGCAGCCAGCTGCTGCTGTCTGGGATGCCTCTCAGCAGTCATACCTTAAAGGTCAATACAAGGAAAAAGTTGTGGTTTTGTCGTAGCATTGTCTGCAACTGTATTGTAGGACACTTTGTTCATCTGTTGTTGAGGTTTGTTACAGCCTCGCATGACAAGATGAGCCACAGTCTCAACTGACACTGACACTAAACACACAGTCATGTGCTCTCATCTGGTTTCAACACCAAAGTGCCGACAGCTCCATCATGTTCCGCTGTTACAGAGGCTTGAATTAGGTTCGATTTGGCTCCATCCTGCAGACAAAATGTTTACACTTGTGGTATGATAGGTTACCAAAACTGTTGAGTGAACAAGTTAAACATTGAATATTCTTGATTAATCCATCAATTCATTGATTGAACAGTTAATCGTTTGGTCACTGAAATGACCACACGAATGTCAAATGTCTGTCAGCATTAACCAGAGCCAAATACAAAGCTTTAGTTTTCTCATTCTGTTTATAGTCAATCGTCCAAAAAGTCAAATGTAATCAGAAAAGCAGCATAGTGTCATGTCTATGAAGCTGTAACCAGCATGTTAGATAACTTTGGTAGATATATGATGATCAATTGCCATTCAGTAGATTAATTGACAGAGCATTTCTTGTAAGTTCACGTGTATATCATCCTGGTTTGCTCATAATTGGGCGGCATAAACAAAACACTAACAAAACACCAAGGAAAATGAGCTCTGAGTGTGACGACACCGAGCTATAATGCCCATCTTGTCCTGTAATATTTAAAGGTCCAGTGTGTAAGATTAAGGGGGATTTATTTGCATCTAGCGTGAGGATTGCAAATTGCAACCAACTTCAACTTTTCCTGGTTAGAATTTCTTCAGTGTTAATTGTCCAGGAGGTTTTTACCGGGAGCTGAACTGCCCACAGAGGTCTCTTCCTCTCTAAACTAAACGGACCAGGTGATTAAAACCAGTGTTTTTCCAAAGCTTTTTGACATGCCGTAGCTGGCCTGCTTGTCCAGTGCCTGCAAATGCCTGCTCACCTTTTGTCTCTTATAACTTAATGTGTGCTTACAGCAGTTTCGCATTTCAAATCAGTTTCTCTGATGCTGTTCAGCATGTCAGGGTTGGGCCGCCAGCCTATCTCCTACTAATCTGTGCTGACCTTTTTTTTTTTCTTATAACTTTGGCAGAGGTCTCTTCCTCTCTAAATCAAACAGACCCAGTGTAAAATCAGTAAATTAAGCAGTTTTACTTTAGAAATATGAATGAAAATATGAGTTTTGTGATGCTCTAGTTGCACTGGAGCTGCTAACTATGGTGGTTGATGGGAAAACCAAGAACGTGAATGGCCCTATCTAGAGCCAGTGTTTGGTTTGTGCGTGTTGACATGGACCCACTTCCTATGTAGATATAAACGGCTTATTCTAAGGTAATGAAAACACAATTAATTCTTATTTTCAGATGGTTATACACTAAAGAAAACATACGTATTATATTAGATTCCATTTCTGCCAATATATCCCCCTAAATCTTGCCCAAAGACCCTTTTATATACCATTATACTGAGTGCTTTACACAGCTTCCTATTCCTAGTAATACAGTACATCACCAAAATGACCAGTATCAGAAAGCAAAAGTGTCAGAGCTAGTGTCCAGATGGTATTCTGTGAACACCGGCAAAATCTAAGCAAAGGAGAGAACACAAAAGGGATTTTTGAGAGCAATGCAGAAAGGTGAGAAGTTTTTTTTTTTTTAAAGAAAGCAGGTGGTTGTGAGTAGCGGAGTTGAAGACATGGTGGCACCATTCTCGATGGGGTGTAAGGGCTGAGGACAGATAGTGAGAAGAAAGCAAGAATGTTGGGACAAGGCTAAAGATAAAACTGCATACTGAGTAGCCTCCATGGGGTGATTGTGGAAGAAAGACCTGCTCTGGATAAGCAAAGGTTAAAGCTCTGCAGCGCCAGAATGTCGCTGCAACATGACTGACAGACAGTCCTGCTGGTTCTCATTTTGGTTATCTAATCAGGCACAGAAAACCAGCAGGGCGACTGCGACTGAGGTCTTACAGAAGACACAACTCTCTTGTATATTCTAGGCTTTACATTTGTAACCTACAAAAAGTAAAGACTGTGCCTAACCTCGACTCTCTCTCTGTTTACAGATTGCAGGCTTTATCAACGCCATTCATCCGTTCTGTGGCGACTCGGAGAACCTGACAGCCTTCCGCTTCTACGCCCTTAACCCCATCGTGGACCCTTGGGTCTTCATCATCTGCCGCAAGTCTGTGTTTCACCACCTTTGCTCTCTGTTGAGCTGCCGCTTCAGCAGGAGAGCTGTGAAGACGACAGCACAGTGCGCTTTGTCTTTACCCCTTGACAATCACATACAGCGCAACCCCCCAGACGTGACAGTTCCACAGACGAAAGCGTACTCCAGTTTACCTCTGTGACCCAACAGGAGCCCTCAGCTGCGTGGGGGGGACTGGAGGCTGGGAGGCTATCATGTCTGATAAAACATTGGAGCAAATCTATGACATGAAACCTAAACATTTGCAAACAGGATTCCTGCGCTCACCATGTTAAGGCACACAGACTTTGACAAAGAAGTAGATGCCACGGTGGAGATCTTCATGAACTTTGGAAAAAACGATTGCACTAGGTCTTGAATTTTCATTGACTGATGGAGGCTGTTTCAAAGTTGCAAAGAGGGTTGTGACATAAAACAAACAGCACTGTAACTTAGCACTAAGGAACACATCAAACCATATCATGCCTATAAACATTATACTGTAAAATCAGAATATATGCACTCGGGTAAAAACTATATGGATACAAAATGCATGAATGTATTCCGTCTTCTTTTCTCTCCGCCTTTTACCAGTTACAGCCAGGTAACTCTACTAATGGACTATCCTCATCTACAGTATGACATAAGATGCAGGTCACACTCAATGACATTATTTTTTGGTCATCCCTGGGGTTGATGTTAAATTAATTTTCTGTGATCACAATTATAATGTATCCATCATCAAAAGTTTTCACCAAACATAAACCATTAGCAGGCTGTAATTAAGCATAGTTAATTTTGTCATAAAACTAAAAGTTAACAGCCATGCTAGCGGCCCATTGAAGTGCTTTGAGCTGAGCACTAATTTCAGCATGCTAGCATGCTAATTTTAGCAGTTACAGTGTTCACCATCTTAGTGTAACACATTTTGGGTCTTTTTAAACTAAATACGACAACGGCACCACTGCACTCTTAAACCCCTTTCCAGTGGCTTATGACATGCCTAGACATCGTTTCGCAGCATTGAGCAAAACATTTACAGCATGATGTGAGCAGCTTAAACTGCATTTGGTCTAAAAGGCCTTTTTCTTCACTAACATTTGACTGATAGGAATGTCATCAGTTTAGCAGGTATTTTGTCATGAACCAGAGTACTGAACAGATTAAAACTTTGACCTGATGATGATGCTAAATGAAAAGTTAAGAAGTAATCTCATAATCTTAGCACCATAGTTAACTGTGCCAAATATGGCAAGCATCTCAGTGTCAGGGTGGCATTCAGGTAAAAAAAAAAATCAGGGGACTACCAACAGTCACCGAGCTTCATCTTCTCAGGAACATGATCGTCTGCTTTGAGAAGATTTGATGGCTGTCTGTCAAGTAGTTACATTTACACTGTACCTGTGAAAATGGTCTTGAAAAATGGGTTTTGCTCCTTTCAGAGAGTACTTGTCTTTCCCACAGTGCAGCACTGTTCCACCTGCACAGACTGCATGTGATGTATTAGCATTAATAGACTGAAATCTCCTCTTTTCAGTTGTTGTAATCTGTCCAAAAAGAAATAACCTGCTGTAAAAATTATAGAAGCACTCTAGTAGTCTTAAAATGCAAGAAATTAAAAGCAAAAATAGTCAGTTTCAATTAAAGCTAAAGTTGATCTGAAGTTAACCCACCTCTCTGGATGTTTGACTCTAATCTTCTAGACTAAACAATTCATTCATGCATTCATTCAACCTTTATTTATTCTCCAGAGATACTTGAGGGGCAGCCCTCATTGGCAATGAAGTTGAGTCAATAACCAAAACAACAAAGAAATATACATTAGAAAAGGCAACACTATAATTTCATTATTACAAAAAGAATAAATACCCATTTAAACTTACTAATTTCTCGAATAAGGGAAAAAACTTGAGAGTTAATTCAGTTTAAAGGCCACTTTAGTCCAGCTCTAGGTTTAATTCCTATTGCATGAACGTTTAGCTCTACCCCTTCTTCTCAATCTCACTGTTTTCTAAGCTACCTATGATGATTGCTTGTGAATGTTGAAGTCTGCTGCTGCAAAATGCACTGTGAGAATTTTTGTTGTTGTTGTGACTTACAGTAAATTGCATTTAAATGTGTATTTATGCCTTTTAACTGTGCTATAATGTTGTGTATCCTTGTGCTGGTTTGGCATGCAGCTGTATAGGGATGACAGATAGGGTGATGAGTTTTTTTGGCCGTGATGCACATTCACTTTTTTTGCTTCAGTGCTCAGTCATGCATGACCCGAGATTAGTCAGACACATAACCACTTGCACATGTGGTCTTTGAGGGTATTTAAGTCTATTAAAATGAATGAAAGAATACAATTTTAGAAACAGAAAATTGTATACATGATATGGTACACATTTTGTTCATGTGAAATAAAATATTGACGTAAGAAAAAAACAAGTTGTCTGTGTATGTTCCCAAGGAGAAATGTTTATGCTGATTTGGTGATGTTTAACAGCCCTACATGTTTAAAGAAACGCACACACTGCTCTCCAACTCAGTTTATGTATAGTTCTTAGCTGTCATGAGACCTGAGCATGTTTGCTGTGTATATGAAATGTAAGCAGTGACGAGATAAACAGAAGACGGTTGTGTTTAAGTGTAGGCAGTCATTTGTCTTTGTCTGGTTACAACCCCTAACATCAACCATGACTACAGTAGAAACATTTATTTGACATGCAGTGCTCTGTTTGTAAGACTGTAACCATCTGGAGATGTCCAAAGCATCTTTTACTGTGTAAAACAATTAAAAATGAAGCATTAAGTTATAAGACTACCAAAATATGTTCCAGCATATCAAGATTTAGATGGAAGTAGAAGTTGTCAGAATGAAAGTCAGTGGTTGTTGTGACTGATTGTTGACTTTGGAAATAGATAAATGTGATTGTGACATTGGGCGGCACGGTTGTGTGGTGGTTAGTACTGTCACCTCACAGCAAGAGGGTTCCCGGTTCGATCCCGGGTGTGGGAGCCCTTCTGTGCGGAGTTTGCATGTTCTCCTTGTGTCAGCGTGGGTTCTCTCCGGGTACTCCGGCTTCCTCCCACAGTCCAAAGACATGCAGGTTAATTGATAACTCTAAATTGTCCGTAGGTGTGAATGTGAGCCTGAATGGTTGTCTGTCTCTATGTGTCAGCCCTGTGATAGTCTGGTGACCTGTCCAGGGTGTACCCTGCCTCTTGCCCAATGTCAGCTGGGATAGGCTCCCCCCCCCCCCGCAACCCTCAAGAGGATGAAGCGGTTAGAAGATGGATGGATGGATTGTGACATTCAGATTCCTGTCGAACTGTTTCTATTTATGTTTTTCATTATGGAGTAAATGTATTGTGATAGATCTTGGTTTTGTGGGTGAGGTATATTTGTGTCATGAATAAATTAACTGAAGTCATGACGCAGCAGAGCAAAGCACACTGGTCGTTTGCATCGCTCGAAACTGTGAAATGACACATCATTTCTTTGAGGTTCTTTGGAAGTGAAAGGGGTGATACGTTTCTGAAATGTGATGTGTTTACAGATCCTCACAGATGTGTAATTCAGATAACAGAAAGTGTTAATACCGACAGATAAATATTTACATTTGGAGCTGCAGAAATGAGGTGGGCTAGTTCACATTAAAATGACAGGGAACATTAACAATACTGTGAGAGCTGAATGGTGACAGCTTATAATGTAAACTGTCTCATTTTATGTATTAATATTGGTTTGCAGTCTTTAGAAACTCCTGATGTAGGGACACATTGACCTCAAATTCTCATGTAAAAGTTAGAGTTTGAAGAGCAGGAGAGCAGTGGCTGGTACTGTAGCACCACTCTGTGGTTGAAGCACACTCCTACAACTGGAAGTGTATTTCTAAGTCATTTTTTCCTCAGGCAAATACATGTCAGTGTGAGCATGGTGGCAAAAAGGATTAACTTAATGTAATGTAAATCAAAGCAGTTGCAAAATGTCATTTGCTTCCCGGACTTGAGTTACTCAACAAAAAAAACAAAAAACGCCCACAGAGTTTGAGAGAACAAGAATTCACATACAGTAATTAGGATGTGGTTGATTTATTGCAACACCAGTGCAGCAGGGGCTTGTTCAAACCACCAGCCACATGTTAAGCAAATTACTCCTTAGACATAAATCAAACATTTTGAATTGTCTCTTTGATATGTTTTCATCTTTGATTATGTTTCCTATGTCTGTTTTGAAATCAAGGAGAATACTTCTAGGAATACTTCGCCCCCCACACGAACATTTGTGCGTGTATTACTCACCCCATGATGGAAGTGAGAAAAAAAGAAATGCCTCTGGTGAACAAAGGCTAACATTATGATGAACTGATGTAAAGGTGACCACATGTGCTTCCTAAATGTGCCGATACACTAAAACTGTCACATTTAAAACACTTCCACCTAAACAGCGTCATGCAGAGACTAAAAGTTCACCTGTGTTGTTTATGCCCAAGTGTTTTAATCTAATGGTTTTATCTAAAATACATGTGTTTGGTAAGCGCTGAGCATACAACTGGATAAATGAGTCTTGGATTATACAGCATGAGCTGTGTGAGAATTATTAAAAGGATGATTTGGTATAGTTGTGCTGTTGTTAAAAGTGGTCCTCTTTGACTTTGACTGATCAGAAATGTTTTTGGATTCTTCGTTTACCAGAGGCATGTGAGAAAACGTTTTCTTACCGAACTCAACATTAACACAGGGTGAGTAATTGATACCAGTGATCAGTTGGGGGTGAAGCTTTCCTTTAACCTCAGGAGTCCAGACAGTCTGCACAGGCATTTTATCTTTGTTTAGCACCTTTCAAACCGTCCTTAACTCACATGCAGCATCCTTTTGTTCAGTCCAAATGCAGGTATGAGTCACCATTTTGCTATTTCAAAGCTGCCAGGAACCCAAAACACACGAAAAATGATGCAGATAGCCGTCAAAATGTACAAATCTTGATAATGCCTCAAGTATTATTGAGCACTTTAAGGCTGTAGAAAATATTGTTTCAGCGTTTATTAAGGTCATGAGCTTTGGGTTGTTTGCTCCGTAGGGTGGCTGGGCTCAACCTTAGAGATAGGGTGAGGAGCTCTGGAGGGAGCTCGGAGTAGAGCCGCTGCTCCTTTGTGCCGAAAGGTGTTGAGGTGGTTTGGGCATGTGATCGGAATACCTCCCAGACACCTCTCATTGTTTCGGCTACGTCCAACTTGCGGGAGGCTCGGGGCAGACCCAGAACATGCAGGAGGGATTATATATATATCTCATCTTGTCTGGGGGTGCCCCAGGATCCCCCAGGAGCTGGGAAGTGTTGCATGGAAGGGACGTCAGCCTGTTCCCCCTACGACCCAGCCCCGGATAAGCAGATGAAAAATGGATGGATGAATAGATCCCAACTTGCTTTTGTGCCCTTTACATGCAAGGTAGGTTTATGCTTGTAAATCACTAAAAATATTTTTAAAACACCCTCATCAGCAGTTTCAACTGGTTTTCTCAGCAAACTAACTTTGTTACAATAACGAAACTATTGATTGATCAATAGACAGCCTCCAATCCTGACAACAAAAGATGCCCCAAAGAACACAGAACCATTATTTTATTTTCAGTGACCTGTGAGCACATACCATCACAACATTAAAAACATTCATGTCAAGACACCTGTCATTCTTTGAGAGGAAGACTGAAATAACTCCATGTCCTCGCAACTGACTCCAGAGAAGCTCTATGAGTAGCTTCCTGCCTCAAACAGTTTGATGAGGATGGCTTCGTGGGGCCGCAGCTCCAGCGTGTCCAGATTCGTCGACCCCAAACGGTCCATTCCTGTGCTGCTCACGAACACTCCAGCTTTGGGCAGGCTCGGGGCCCAGGCGGGATCCAGGACATGAGGCTCAGGCCCGACGTTGAGCAGAATGAGGAAGTGGACACAACCCCATGAGCGCAAGAAGGCAAGGATCGGTGGAGAGGGGAGAGTGGAGTTGGCGGAGGAGGAGGAGTTGGTGGAAGAATTGAAGGGGAGGAAAGTGAAGCTGCCGAACAGGAGAGCTTCTTCTTTGGCTCTGGAGTGACTGAGGGAGGTGAAGAGAGTGACAGCTGAACGCTTCTTCTTCTCCTTGTCCTGAGGGAGGGATGCAGAGACAGTTACTGTAAATAAAACCTACCCAACTGATGCTCTGTGTCTTTATCTGCAGCTTTACATGAATTAAAAAGGTCCAGTGTGTCAAATTTAAGGGGACACATATGAAAAATAAGCATTTTCTTTAGTGTGGAAATGAGAATATGGTTTTTGTTACCTTAGAATGAGCTGTTTATATCTACATAGGGAGCAAGTCCTCATCCATAGAGTCCGCCATGTTGCACCAACCATATTTATACAGTAGCCAAAAACTGACAGTTCAAACACTGGCTCTAGACAGGACTGGTTGCTTTTTTCCATCAGCCACCGTAGTTAGAAGCTGCTGCATGACATGGTTTTTTTGTTGTTGTTTTTTAACAAACTGCTCTATTCAGTGTTTTTAATGCTTTCAATCACCAGGTCTCTTTGTTATGGAGAGGAGAAGACCTCTGTGGATGATTCAGCTCCCAGTAAACACCTCCTGAACAATAAAACACTGAAGGAATTCTAACCGGGAAAGTTTCAGTTGGTTGCAATCTGCAATCTCACCACTAGATGCCACTAAATCCCCCTAAATCTTGCACACTGTTCCTTTAAATAGTCTCATTCAGGTATTTCCAGAGGGACATCTGGCTCTGTTACTCACTTTATGGTTGTCTGGTGTTTCGTCCTTGTTTTCTTGTGGAGAGCTGATTTTCAGAGATGCATTCTGTGAGAGAGAAAAGTTTTATTTGGTAATGTGAACTTGTAAAACCGATCATTTATGGACTCAAAGTCTCGAGCGGGACTCCACCTGTGTTTGGTCGATGTTTTCATCATACTGCACTGCAGGTGATCCTGGCAGAGTCATCGTCAACACCAGGAGTAAGTTCTTCAGGTCATGGGATGGATTACCTCCAACCTGCAGTAAATAGTATATCATTCAGTTAGTGCATTATCAATCAGATTAATTGTCAGCTGACATGCATATGTCTTACTGTCCAGCCGGTCCATATGTCTTCGTCTTCTCTTTGCAGGTGTGTCTCTATGGCTTCAGCGACCTCCGCAGCAGACTGAGGGTGTTGTGAAGGTGGCAGAATTGACTTCATGACCACATCCACCAGTGTAACGTTTTTCTGGCTGTTTTTCAGAGGTGGCAGGACATCTGTTGTCTGTCTTACCACCACGATCCTGAAGATACACACAGATGGGCATTCTTTTCAAGCTTTATTTCAGAATTAACTGCTGAAATGAAAATCTTTCCGCTGCATGTATAACGATACCTTTCCTCCTCTTCACCACTAAATTCTTTGAAGACATCTTTCCACTCCAGCAGAGTCTGAAATGTAAATATTTTATTGGATGCGAGTTTGTGGAAACTCTGCCTGTCAGAATACAAAACATGTGCATGAGCATCATTTTACCTTTTCTGAATATGCTGCATCAGTGTCACAGATCACAAAGCCTGCCACACCCTGCTCCAGCCAGAACCGGAGTGCATGCTGTGGAAAAAGTATCGCCGTGTTTTAGAAAATCCAGCATCTCTGAGAATTTAACAGGATTAAATAGCATGACCAAAGAGTAGGTTTTATAAGTACTGTGGCTGAGAGGTTTGCTGCCTCATTTGCGTTTCCTGCTACCTCCCGAGGTCGCGACAGATCCAGTTCACAGACGTCTAACACCACTTTGAGATCTGCAGGACCAACGAAGAGCTCATTAAGATCTACCTGTGCAGGCTGTTCGACAAAAAGAGGTGCTTCACTCACCTGCTTTGTTGCTTTCAGCGACCAGATGCTGGATCTGAGGCAAAGTCCCAACCCTTTCACCAGTTGCATTGTGTTTTAAAGGAGACGCCTTCTTGTCAAACAGACCCTGGAGGATTAGAGCTCCTATGCCCAGGGACCTGAGGTAGGGAAGCTGCTCACACAGCGCTTGAGAGAGAATCAACATTACAGTTAGTAGGATTTCAAAGGAAAGTCATTCTGTTCAACTTCCTCATCTCATGACTCTATTTTTGTCTCCAAACATTTTGTAGATACTATTTATTTCATTTATACTTTTATTACATATGCTTTTTTGTTGTTTTTCATGCTTCATGTTGTCTGTGGCAGATGCTCATAATATATGTAGTAGTCTTTTTTTATTAATGTGCATTACACAACTGTTCTTGAACTTTTTTAGTCATTAAATTTGCCTGTGTTGGATCAAAAACATTTCTCATATTACGAAACAATAAAATACCAGCAATCACATAATCTGTTTTCTAAATTAGTTGAAAGCATGTGGTGGTAGCCCACCCTGAAGAAAGAGCTATCTGCACACTTTTCGTGTGAAGTTTGACAAACTTTGGCATCCGACACGCATTCTCAGTAATCAGGGAGCTTCTCTGGGATTGTTAAAGGTTGATAAAATGTCTTTCTTGATCCTCATGCAGAGTGAACATAACATATTAATATCAGCCAGCTGGAGCTCACTGAAGAAACTGGAAACTCCACCAATAAGCAATGGCTGAGCAAGACTACCTTGCAAAAAACCTGAAAGCTTCTGGACAGCTCCAGGCTCACGCCACGTCAACTGGTTTGTGCTGATTAAATTGGAAATTTGTTTGGGAATATGCACAATTAAAGTCATAGTTCATCTAACATGTTAATGGCTCTAAAGGCCGCTGTGTCAAAATCAATTTTCAAAACCATTATTTCAGTTTTGCATCTTGCACATTCTTGAATAATGGCATTTAATCAAATAACCACACAGCAAATCTGGTACAAGTTAGTATTCTAGCATAGATAAACTGTATGCATTGCACAGAGAGTGGGAAGAAGTGGAGATTAAAAGGGGACCAGCAGCTCATATTTTTGCCCCGTGGCCGCCCAAGCAGATTAATCTGGCCCCTGACAAGACATCAAGTCTAAATGTTACCATGAAAACTATGTGATAGTGTTCACAATATATCCATAGCATGTTACTGTTTGTTTTTCCCTTAAAGTTAAGGGGATTTCCGCTGATTAAGTCTGTGGCTTCTTGACCTCTCCTGGGTACGGGGGCATGTTCCTCCAGGGAGATTTTTTCCCAGCTATACAGCAGCTATATGCATTATTCTTTCATGCCATTTGAGATGACAGAATGCCTACAAGTCTGTGCCCCATTTGGGAAAAACATGAGTTGCGCAACGGAAAAAAATCCTGTAGAGCCTACATCCTGTTTTATCATTTTTCAGGCATCTTCATCATTCTAAAACCAGAACACAATGTCACAAATTTGGATGTATTTATAGAAAAACTGAAAGATTTGGGGCTCTTGAGAACACATTAGTGCAGGACCCAAAAGACAAAAGACTCCACCCCGCTGTTCCGTCCCTGGATATATGTGTATTTCCTCACCATTGATGCCCCCTGACCTCTCGGCGGGCTGCAGCTGATAGAACACAGCCTTCTGCCACCACTTGAGCGGCGTCACAACCGGCCTGGGGCTCATCACTATGATGGCGATGGAGATGGCGAGCATGGCCACCCAGGCCAGCCAGAACATGAGCACCAGGTAACACCGCACCTTCCTCCACCCCGGACCCCCCGCCGCGGCCTCCAGCTCCTGCTTGGTCAGCGGCTGCCACTGCTTGAATCTCTCCGGTTCAGGCTCCGAGATGAGAAGAGGGGCCGACTCCAGGCCGGCCACACTACCCGACAGCCCGGAGCCTGCCACGCTGCCGTAGCCGGTGTCTGCTCCTGCGTTCAGAGGCATCCTGCCCGGCTGCAGGTGGGTGACATACACTTAGATTAAGGGAGTTTAATTCCATTTAGGAGAAGCATGCAGACACTCAAGCAGCAGCAGACAGATGTTATCCAACTGTTTTGTTTTGTTTGGCCCTGTCAGTTTGGTCTATCCATACCTCATGAGCGGCCTCTTTCTCAGCTGGCTCCATGTTAACCCCAGGGGGACTACAGATGGAAACAACACAGGAGCTGCAGGAGTCAGCGACACACTCAGCATGCAGCTCTGCCCCGACCTGCACCCACCTTTCCCCTGCTACCTGTTTTACACAGGTGTTTAAATTAACTGAATTAACTGCTTTGACATGCCACAGGTCAGGTGACACACAGGCATCTGATTGGCCAGTAAAAAGACTGTAACTTTGAAAGATGCCCACTAAATCTAAGTGACTGACTTCATTTAGTATAATCTTATAGGCTATTATCTTAAACCAAACTATAGAATGTATTTTACACAGAACATGAACAGTTAAATTAGTCCTCCATTCACCTGCATTGCAAGTCTATGACAGGGGTCACAAAAACTTTCACACATGGGCAATTCGAAATACACCTAAGCGAATGTACATATAAATAACTTAAGGACAATATTTAAAGACAATAAATGACCTCACTACTTAACTATCATGACACTGCACAAACCAAAACATTAAACAAAAGAGACCCTGAGACTCCTGAGACCCTGCGTCCTCATATGAGGACATCACATTCTGGGTATGCTGCCTCTTGTCCTTGTTTGTGGACACTTTTTGTGGTTCCCTCTTATCTTTCTACATGTGCAGGAGCCAAAATCAATATGGCCTTTGCTCTCTCTCGTAATATTCTTCAAATGCTGGTTCCAAGGGTGAGAACAGAACTCGGCAAAAAGGCTTTTAAATATGCTTCCCTTTTTCGTCCTGGAATAATTTACAGAAGGATCTGAAATTGGCAGAGCTGATCACTGTGGGGAAATTTAAGTCGATTTTAAAGGATCGGGAAATTAGCTCTTTTAGTCAATGTGACTGTTTCTAATTAATTTTAAAATTGTACTCATACCATATTTGTTCTTGTCCTGGACCTTGTATTTCATGTTAATTGTATACTGTGGTTTTTATTCATTTTCATTCATTCATTTGATTCATTTTTAATCTTGATAAGGCTTTTACCTGGTTAATTAAAGGATATATATATTGTGCCATCTAGTGATAGTAAGACTGCAATACACTAATCCATGTAAAAACAAGATGGCAGCCATGTCTGCCAAGTCAGACTGCAGCCGATCCCGACACTAAAGAGGACAAGGTCCAAAACCTGATCACATTTTATGGCTCAAACTTGTTTACTTACGATTAATAATGTTTGTAGTTTGATATGGCAACTATAGGACCAATTTTAGCAACAGGTACAAGATAAGACGCTGTTAATTAGGAAGTACTCGTCAGAGGACATTGGGTCTGTATTGTTGTCTCGTTTGAGGACGTTGGGACTTCGTTAGACTGTCTCCTAAGTCAAAAGGACATTCCTTGCATGGAGTATGAAAAGAGGAAAACTGATGCAGAGTTTCTAAATGAACAGTGTTTCATTATTTGTAATTTATTTTTTGCAGAACAACATCCAGACATTTAAATAAACAGTTTTATTCTTCATGACACACTGTATTCATTACACACCGGAACCCCCAACCGCTCGGAGCGCCTGTCATGGGCAGCCCCACTCTGACATCTCTCCACTTAGTGCATGTATAGGTCCTGTTTGTGCATGTGTGTGTTTGGACCTGTGTGTAATTGACAACAGAGTGAAAAAAAAAAAAAAAGAATTTCCCCTCGGGGATTAATAAAGTATATAAAAAGTTAAAAATAAACCCAATGTCCTCATATGAGGACATCTTGTTTTCTAAAACTACTTCCTGTTCAAATACAATGTTTAGTTTTTATATTTATCAGGTCGTACCGATCCCAAACAGCTCAGAGACTCAGAGACAGTGAAAGAGAAGCTGAGGTCTCATGAGGACATAGCTTACAAATAATTGGATGGGTAATTTATGGATGTTAGTATATTTATTGCATATTTACTCTTTTACTTTAAAGGTCCAGTGTGTAGGATTTAGTGGTGGCTGATGCGAAAACATGAATGGCCCTATCTATCGCCAGTGTTTATTTGTCCGTTCTGGGCCACTGTAGACTAACATGATTGACTAATGAAAACATAGTTATGAATGTAATATACCATTTCTGCCAATATATGCCTCTAAAATGTCTTAAAGTTTGGAGTGAGAACATTTAAAATCCATTTGGCTCATAAAACCCTCTGAAAACTCAAAAAATTCATTGACATTTCTGTCAGTTCCTATAAAATGTCTCTTGATAGAAGCTTTAGCTGAAAGCAGTTATTGGTTAAGGGGCCCTCTGGTGGCCATCATACTGTAAACAGCTGCTTAGCTCCCCAGTATGTCTTGGGACCATAGAGAGGCTCTAGTTGAGCATGTCAGGCTCAAACCCAGGACCACTTTGTCTCCATGTTACTTATCTAAATATCACCCAAATACAGTCACAGTCATTACTCACATTTTCTGTCTGAGGTTTCAGGTCCTTTCTTCTTTATCACCTCTTACTCTTCTTTATCTTTGTCCACCAGTGTTCCCAGCTGAGCTGTGCCGTCTTGAGTTAAATACTGAGTGATCTGACTGGTCAGGAGTGAGGAGGTGAGAAGCACACAGTGTCTAATAAATGCCCTGCTCAGTCACTTCATACAGAGGTGCTGAGCCTCGCCACACCCTCGCAACACATTCTGAAGAACTCATAACTGCCATAGAGAGCTCCCTAAAGTCCCTCAAGAGGTAGTTTTCACTTTGGCTTAAGCTATGGTGCATTTATTATTGATAGTATAACATTGTAGATAGATTGTAGATAGTGATGTGATTTATATATTTGCTATATAGTTTTCCGTCTGTGTTAAGAATGTCCCACAAACTTTTATTTGGGTTTGAGTGTTTGAATGAAATGCAGGGTTGTAAATTCAAAGCCAGCCCCTGAATTTTAAGACTTTGCCATAAAATGTGGGATCTAATCTTCTAGTATTGTACTTTTTTGTGTGCTTGTGTGTGATAGGCAATTAATGGATAACCCTTTTTTTACACCTGGTTAATCATGTGAGTGATTTTTAAAGCAAAAAATGAAATAAAAATATTTGCTGGTTCCAGCTTCCTAAAATTTGAGAATTTGCAGTTTAATTCTTTTATGTGGTTCAGTTACTTAACATGGTTGTAGATTTGACTGTTAATTGGACAAAACAAACTATCTGACAATGTCATATTGTGCTTTGGGACATTTTTCACTGTTTTGTGACATTGTATAGACAAAAAAAATTTAATTGATAAATTAATCAACAGATTATTAGATAATATTTTGCATCCCAAACTACTATAAAACTTAACTAATGGTATGTTTTAAATAAGTGGGTGTAGCTGTCACAAATATAATACTGTAAAATGAAAAATGTGTCAAAAACACAGTTCGCAGCATAAACACATAAACTGTTTACCCCGTCTATCATTTTATAGTATTTATCTATACATTTAAATTCAGAATAATTGAACTCACTGTACCAGTGATACTCAGTTTACGGCCCCGTGTAAGGATGCTGTGTGGTCCAAAAACCATTTTCTAATTCACAATAAATATGAACTGATCCACACAGGAAGTTGTTTTTTGTACTTTTCACTGTAAATATGGTGCCAGGAGACAGTGAAAAATCAGAAATGAAATTTTTGATAATTAAAAAAAAGTGCAAGCTGAGGATCCCGCAGACCACCCTACAGAGGTCTGGGCTGAGCCCCAGGGGCCTGTTGAACAAAGAACCTTAAGTTTGCTCCCTAAGTATGACACTTAAGGTTTAGTTTTTCTTTAGCTGACGAAATTACCTAAGGTTATTGCACAAAATCTCTTAAAAGGTTTAGTCAATGAAAGATGTTAAGGCATTTACTGTAATGAAAGAGATTTTACAGCAGTTAAATTCTGCTGTTTCCACGTTTGCTAGAATGTTCACTTGACCTGAAAGTAAAAAAAAATGGCAGAAGATAAGAAGACACGAAAACCAAATTGGGTGAGGGCGTTTGGAACCCGGTGAATTACGCAGCACACTGACTTGTTTACATGAAATAACTCGCCAATAACTGATTGGAAACATCCCGTTGTATAAAACCGTAGCACAATCATTGTTTGTAATGAGGCTGGAAGAGCTTCAGAAAGTTGACTGGTCCATCTCGTGCAAAATCAGCTGCTCATCATTAAGGGTGTTCATCAGGTTCTCCTTAGGACGCCTTGATTTTCGTCATTGATCACCATAAACTCAGCCATGTTGCTGTCAAGATGCAGTCAGAGGTCACTTGTGTTTTTTTCCACGCTTTGGTTGCTGAGGTCCTCTGTGCAACGGTTTAATGAACTTTAAGCAATTCCTTAAGTGTAAGACCAAGATAAGGAGAAAAACTTAAGGAAACAGTAAGGAGAAGAATTTTGTGCAACTTATTTTATTTAAAGGAAGCCTTAACTTTTTAATTTAAAGGGACATCTTAACTTAAGATGCTTTGTGCAACTGGCCCCAGATGCTGCATCTGGATTTATCTCTTGGTGTACTTGAGTGAAGCAAACATAGAATATTGAGAACAAGCAAATTATTTATTGATAAATATGAATAATGTTTGTTTATTTGCCCTTGTTCTCTTGTAGTGTCCCCCAGGCAAAGAGAGTTGAGTACCCTGCACTATATTTCCAGCGTGTTCTGTACAAATCTATTTCCTGCACAAGAACAACTTCTAAATCACACGGTGACGTCACACATCACACGTCCTCTCTAAAGAGACACAGGGGTCCACATTTAATGAGGTATGTGTGCTAATTCCTGGGAACATCTCATGCTCTCTGTCCCCCTCCTCCATCTCTCTCTCCTGCTTTCTTTCTCCTTTTGTGTCTCTCCCTCTGGCTTTCTTCTCTTATGGCATACGTTTATGTTCTTGCTATAACAAGTCATTGCGATCCATGACACCCTTGCTCCCTGACAGCATTGTGCAAACTAATTATTTACTGAGAGATACTGCGTTCCATCATGAAACTCTCTCACACACTTTGTAGCCCACGTGCGGAGCACACGTTGAAGAGTGAAATGCTATTTAGTTTATTGTTGTGTGATTTGTTGCTGCAGAATAAAGAGTGTCAGATCATTTGTTTTCCACACACACATTTTGTATACAGTATCAGCCACACAGTCATGTAAAATGAGCTGCCTTAAGCCTCTGACATGTGCA